TCTCATTATAGTTTTGGGGGGATTTAGAAAAGATGTGTTTACTCCACTGACGAATGAGAAAGGAAAGTTTTTCTTATGATTTACTTTGAGCTTTCCCAGGTTTTTTATTTTCGAATGTTGTGCAGATCTGCTCATTAGTTTTTTTTATTAGTTTGTCCTGTCTTGGTTCTTTCGAAAGCATACACTATCGAGTTTCTATTTATATGTGGGAACAGTTATAGCCCGATTGGTCTTAATCATGAAAAACACTTCCCTCAAATTAGGGTTTCTGGTTAAATGAGAGGATAGGGCCAGACATGCCCAAACAAACAGTTTTTCATAGGCTTGAATATGGGATAGGGCTCAACTGTTAAAGAAGTCTTGCTCACTTGATTCTTCAATTCATCCGTTCGTTTTTAGCATCTTATCGATATAAAATATGCTCACAAGACGTAATCGTGCCCTTGTGAAGCCCAACATCGCGAAAGCATCAAAAGTGGCGAGACCGCTCAGCGAGAAGTTCGTTCATTGTTCTCATTTTTACTCGTTTTGTCACTCATCTTTCAACCGATTGTTTAGAACCACTCCCACTACCAGTAATGACACAGAAACTGCTGATGTTAGTGCTGTCATTGACTCCGTTGAGAGCTCGGATCATCAACAAACGATCGAACCTCAGAAGGAGTCAACCTTAGAAACTTTTACCAGTATTGGTGAGTGTTCAATTGCATGAGAGATTTTTACTAGACTGCTGACTTCCCTACTTGTGACTGCCATTGGGTGCTATTTTATTTAGGTGCACATCACAGCGTTTCGGAAAATTTTTGCTAGACGCGAACCCCAACTTCCCTATTTGATACGACCCTTTTACAACCCACCGACCATTTCCAGAGTTTCTCTAAACTTGCGGAAATGATCGGTGGGGGTGGGGGGTGGTAGACACCTCAGCTCACAGAAATAATGCTTTGCTCGCGCGCAGGTTGGAGAAGGAGGTGGGTTTGGTACCCGTGGACCGAGGGAATTCAATAAGTAAAGAAACTTTTTCGGCTCCTGCACGATTCGCGTTGTGTCTTACACAATGATTATGTACCTGTGCTTTTGCATAGACATAGCTGGAAGCTTTTTTTGTTACTTCATAGGCCTAACCAAGCTACGACACACACACACTCGACTCCTCCTTCTTTTTACAAGTGTAGCAAAAATAGGAACGCGTCTCACCTTCTCTGGTTCCCCTTTGGCATGAATAGGCAAGAAGGAAACTTTTTCGAATCAAATGAAGTTCATCGATTGGTTTAATAACTTCGGCAATTAACTGGAGCGTTTGAATCCTTCGTGAAAGTGTGCGATTCCTGGGCTCTGTTCGCTTGGGAGGCCATCTTTATAGCTTTTCGCGCCGAGTTGTTTTGGTCGTTGGTGTTGAAATAACAACAGTTTTTAGACGTGATACTTTTTGTTGACGCCTTTGTGAAACTGCGGACTGGTACGAGTGAGCAACTTTGATCACGGGAATTTACAAAATCCGACAATGTGGCAGGTGAAAGTTTGGCTGAATACCATTTGCCCCCCCCCCAAGTCGAGCAGCGCCATTCTCCTGTTTTCAACTTATCCGGCGATCAATTTGGTAGTCCACATGAATTGCAGCCTCCTCGCCCGTAACCTTTTTCGATCATGTCAATTTTCTTGAACTTGCAGAAGAAAACTCTCCACCCGTAGTTAACGATGAACCTCCAGCACCTGTTCACAATGATACGTTTGATGAGGAACATAACATCGATCCACTTGCTCCTGAAAAGAGGATCGCTCAGTAAGTGTTGCTTTTGATTTTTTTTCTATAATCATATTTTTCGTCGCCACTATTTACCATGTATTCCCTTTTTTTGAAATCCGGACCAGGTTTTGATTTAAATTGGTCCCTGGGGTAGATTTTGTCACTATGGCCCCAGAAGTGGTTTGACTTTCTGAGCGCCGTATCCACTGATCTGACACCCATACCCTATACACCGGCGCTACAGATCAGCTTCGAGCTCCCAGGGCAAAACTCGTGCCAGATCTACCCGTTCAGGTTTCGAAAAAAAAACTGATCGAACTTTTGAAAAGGTAAGGAGAGGTGAATAGTGTCGCATAATCACCCTTTGAAATTTCGCTGAGGTTTATAGGGCGTACTTTCAGCGTACCCGTCGATCATTCAAGACTACTATCCCCTAAAAGCTATGATAGATATACTACGGATTACTACGAGCCACCGCTTCCAAGGTACTGATCAGTTTTTCTCGGATCTCTTCTAAAAGGATTTTTGTGGAAAATGGGCATTTTTCGCTTTAAGGCCTAGAAAAAAGTTCGCCGCAGATGAGCAATTGGATCCGAAGAAAATGCGGATGATGGATATGATATATTGGAATCCTAAAAAGGAGAAAAGTATGACACGTCGTAACATCGAGACGGAGTCCGTAGTCCGTGAGGAAAAGCCATCTGTCATCGATAAAATAAGCATCAACACAAGTAAAACGGTCGCACCTCAGGTATATCATCACAAATGTTTCCTTACTGGTTCCGTTTCCTTAATGTTTCACAAGCACTACGTATATAACTATTTAAGGTGAAAATTGGGCCGGATGGACGGCTGGTAATCGACGAAAAAAGTTTGGTTGTAGCGGAAACGGTTAACGATGAATCGGTCTGGGAAACCATAGATGAGGTTGGTTTGATTCACTGTTCTTTTGTCGTGCATTATAGGCACGCCAGCTAAGCAGACGTCTTTTTTTGGCATGATAGTCCTGTCCACATGCTTGAGTGTTAGTGAGGGAAGCGTGACTCGCTCGCGGCGAGGCCGCGGCTCCGCCCACTAGTCACGGCAACGCCCAACTTCCACTTTTAGAAATTGCGTGGCTGTTTTCCCTCTTCAGAGACTTCTCTTTATTCAGGATCGCGTATCTCGAAAGGTCACCTCTCTTTCATTTCGCAACCGAACATGGCGTAAAGGTACATGCTGGACGGAAAAAGAAACTGAATTGTTTTACGGTACTTTCCTTGCTTCATTGTAAGTGCACTTCTTTGGAACACTTATGTGTGCGAATTTGTTCAGAAATTCTACGATGTACCGGGCCGGACTTTGGTTTGATGCATGAATTCTTTCCAACTCGAGCACGTAATGAGCTGAAAACCAAGTTCAATCGCGAGGAAAGAAATAATTGGGGAAAATTGAAAGAGGTACCTTATTTTGTATTTACTCTGCATTGCGCAAATGGTCATGCGCAACCGTGAAGTAGTTGTGTTTCGAATGAACATGATAAGACTCATGCTTCCTTTCAACTCATTCCATAATTGTTTCGCGGCGTTCCAACTTAAAGATTCCAAAAACCAAGGTGATTCTCGGGTGAGGCCAGACAAGAGCGTCGAGAGATCATACAAAAGAGTAAAGCGACCGATAGGACATCTATCAGCGTGGGCGGATCCACTTACTCCTTGGTGGAGTCACTTGTACAACCTTTTGCATTCCCGCCGCTACCTTAACTGTGTGACGCGAAACTTGTACAGGGTTTTCGTTCTGTGATTGTGTTGTTAGTTCCCACACCCCCCTAAGAGAGCTTATAGTATTTATAGGCTGATCGTGGGCCTTGACTTTTTAAGCGTATCTAGGTATCAGAACATTCATAGAGCGTTGCCTTGAATTCTCTTACTTTTTTGTAGCACTCCTATTTCAGCTCCTCTCAAAGCTTCCCTTCACAATTGCTCATTTGCGACGTGAGAGGTCCATAGCTACAGATGGTTTCCATTTTCTCCAGTAGAAAGGGTAATGAAACGCGGGTAATGACGCTGGAAGGTTGTTATAGCTTTACTTTCTTCACGTCCCTACCCGCTATGCGATAAGCAAAGCCAAAATCAGCGAGCAAGTCACGACACAGACATCTGACGCGCCACACGACAAACTAGGTGCCTTGTCATAGCCACTCGCGTTGCTTGTCTGCGGCCTCTCACGTATAGCTATAGCACCATGGTTCTCTTCTGCTCGCCTTCAACAGCGTGCCGACATGTGTTCCCAGGCCTCGAAAGTCCCAGGAGGGGGGTTTTATTCATTGGCGTGACATGCTCATGGTAATAGTGCGGCCTGGAAATATACAGCACATACATTCCCATAACCTGGAGATGAGGTAGGCGTGGCAGCGTACTTACGACAGCGCCCGCGATCGCCTTTCGCGAGTTGTAGAGCTTATGATCATTAGACCATGATGTAAGTACAATACTAATGAAGAAAAAGGTAAAAGAAAGCGTTGAAAGTGCCCTAAAAAGACCTCATGTACGGGATTGAAGATGGGACGAGTCAATTCAATTTTGGGCGAGTTCTCTGTATCTAATAGTCACTGGCTGCGGCTCATTCTTCAAGGCCTATTCGATAAGATTAGCCCAGTTAGGTTAACACGTTCCGGACCGCGTGACACACATGGTGTGTCATGAATTTGCTTCTATGCTGTCTTTTATTTGATTATTTTGAATATTCTTTCATGTTCTGTTCTTGTGAAAACACGTCTTCGGTTATCAACATATCCTCCCTCATGAGCGTTTGAAAATAGGGAGGAAATTACTGATCAATTTTTTATGAAAAATGATGAAATGATTAGGACGTGCGCGCAGTACCGCGGCCGTTCCCGCAATGTGTATAACGTAACGCCTCTGTTAAATGGAAAAATGATTGGGCTAGAACTTGTTGACTCTGCTCTCGTGGGCGGAGTCAGCTTATCGTTGCTGAGCTGTCGTGCTATCAAGCTCTTTTGAGCCGCAAAAAAAGGGATATCCGCTGTGACCATGAGCTCCACCATCTTGTACTACAAAGGACTTCTGCACCTTGGTTGATCGCGGGCGCTGTCTTCAACTTTACCACAGCATAGGATTGCCCTCTTTGTCGGGTTTTCATTTGAGACGTGTCTGTATTGTCTTGCCTTCGATGAACCTTCGATGAAGGTATCATTGCAATAAATCACGAAATGGCAGTATTTCATCTTATCTCGTGGAGCTCAGCTGCTGCCAGGTTCAGACGGGGTACGCGGCCACGCCTACCCCATCAGCTATATGAAATGTAGCTATACAACCGCCT